TATTCTGGTAAACGTTTATTTTTAATTCCTCTCTTGAGTACGGTCTGATTGGCTCATATTCACATCAAACATACGTTTAGTTTTGGTATCATCGCTTTATTTTTGAGGCGCTGGGATCGTCCATATCAGGCAGCAGGCGTGCTGCGTTTCAGACCGGACAAAAAATGGGAAATTCCAGTTTCCAGAATGGAGCAGAAGCAGCTCAGTGTGAAAGTGAAACAACAGATTTATTGATCATTTCATCCACCCAACTTTTCAAAAAGGTTATTGACACGACACACATACTCTTTAATAAGGTAAAATTATTACAGGAAAAGGAAACATAAGTTAAAAAGAGCACGCTCTGACATCTATGGTACAGTTTCAGCGCCGATTCGTCCGTCCTCTGTTTTATGAAAAACTTCATCTTGATTCGCTGAGCTGGATTTCAAATGTTCGTCTCGACCCTACAGGAAGCAAACGTTTACAGTCCGATCTCCGAAACCCGCCGCAGGTTTCTGATGGATCGCAGAAGGATGGTGCTCGTGACGCACTCGTCACTGCACGCCCGCGGGCGGCTCCACGTCCTCCATTGGTTGGCTGCCGAAGCCGCTGTCGACAGTGACGTCTGATCGAAGAGAAGAATAAGAACGAGGTGAGTGGGTCTGTTGGACGTAACGAAACGTAAACAGCACTTCGATGTTCGATGTGAGACTAAAAACAGATTCCAGTCGTCGCTGTTCTGCACATGCTCAGTACCGCCCTGCTCTACCGCTGCGGCGTGTAAAACATCAGACCTGAGCAGAGCTAACGGACGCCTCCGTCAGTTACCTGTGTTGTGTTTGTCGTCTCGGAGCTCGGCGTTCCTCAGCAGTCGGACTCCTTCTGTCAGACCGAGAGACTGCAGAGCTTCAACCAGGCCTTCGACTGCACCTCCACCCAGCTGCAAACACACACACGTTTAATCTGAGCTGCAAACACACACACGTTTAATCTGAGCTGCAAACACACACACGTTTAATCTGAGCTGCAGACGTCTGCAGCTTAACGTGGAAGACTGCCCTGAGAGTCACACTGCTGCAGTACCCACATACTCCACCAGGAGGAGCCCATGACATTCAGTTGGTTTCAGTTCTTATTCTACAGAAAATCACCTCCAGGTGCTTCACGCCGTACGTTAGAGACTCGGCAGTAATAACAGAGGCGTCGCTGCTCACAGGTATCACAGGTGTGTCTGACAACCTGATAAACAGGAAACGTCCCTCACAGAGCCTTCCTCTGAATAATAAATGATGCTTCCTGTTTGTGTGGCAGAGCCGGGACAGGTGAGCTGTTACCTGCAGCTGATTTCAGGTAAAGACCCTAAAACGGTGGCGAGGACGAACTCCCTGTTAACAGGAAGAGACCTCTAATTGACTCGGGCAGAGGGAGAGGCGGACACGTGGGGTGCCATCACGTGAGGCCGGCTGTCAGACCCGATGCAGCCTCAGCGAGGCACGTGTGCGGTGGGCGTGGCTCTCACCTTGTAATGGCGCAGCAGCTGGCGGCAGGGCGCCGGACTGTCCTGGTACAGGTGAGTCAGCGTCATCATGCCCAACTTCTCCGCCAGTTTCTTCCAGGGGACGTCGCCGACGCTCAGCACGTCCACGAGCCGCGACAGCGTGTCCTCGTCGAGCCCCGCGCGCTCCCCCTCTGTGGCGGCATCGCAGCGTCACGTTAGCTTGTTTTTAGTAACATCTGAAAGGCGATCAGCTAAAAAGAGAAAAGCGACGAACCTTCAGCGCTGCTGGTCGTCGGTCTGATGTTCCCGCCGCCGCGCCGATCCGACTTCGGGCTCTTAGATGGCGACAGCACTTTCCTGACCTGCAGAGGTGATGTAGCCACACACAGCTGTTAGCGTCCTCACAAACCGACGTTCAGAAAACGCCACCTGAGCGTGTACTCTGATTACTCTGAATCGATTACCCAGCTGTTGGTCGATCACATCTGTCGTCTCTACATCTGGAAAAGATGCTTTTATTTTGAAAGTACAACTTACCTTTTG